TTGCGGTATTTAACTTATGAAAAAGCTTCATTCAACAGAAAATGTTTTAGTTTGTTAGCAATGACTAGCAACTGAGCTCCATATTGATTCTCTCCTTTGGTGGCTATGCCCTGCTGAGCCTCTGGTGTTAGAACCTGTCTCTGCTGCCATTGGACGAGAGGCAGGAAGCCCCCTGGATGGTTCACCAGTTTGACACAGAGCATATACCAATAATATAATACATTTATAATACATTTTCTTTGTAAGACCCTTAAATCCGTGACATTTGCTCAGCATAGATTTAGTAAATGTTACTGATTCCAAATTGTGGACAGTAACCCTTTTTAAGTTTGAGACTTTGGACTTGCCAGGTATTGTATTGAAATGTATTATTTAAATGTATTAGATTTCGACTTTATTTCTGTGGAGTGACTCTTGAATAGCACAAGAGCCAGACGAAGACGACGACAGCCTTTAAAAAGACCGGTTTCAGTATCACAGCTGTGACCTTAGTAAAACGGAGCCGGGCAACAGGTGGGCATCATGTGTGCGCTAATCTTCCACATTATGGTTGTTGATAACAGACACTGCATGCCACGGCTCCGTTAAAACTCAGTAATTTAATACGGAATACATCAGCAATGGGATATTTGTAGCATGGAAGAAGCAAAGGTTGGGTAGATTCAGCTGATCCTAAGAATAGAAAACGCACATCATTCACTTTGGGTTTCTGTTACCAGAAGAATTCGGAGTACCGCAGACCCTCCAAAACAAGACATTGGGTGTCCACTGAGGGATTTGGGGATTACTTTTTTCACTTGCTCTCCTCTCTCTGAGGACATGAAAATAGGGCTTGTGTTACCCTGCGACAATCCGTGCCAATTCGGGAGGGCAACCTTTCCCCTTTTTCACAGTCCGTCCTTTTACCCATCAGTAAAGACATGTGTCCGGTTGTTGGGCGTTTGTTCCTGTGAACAGGTGGGGAAACACAAGAGAAGCTATTCAACGGCTGCTAAAGCATCTGGCCTTTTAAATCTGTTTTGAAAAAAAAAAACATCTTAATATTACAGCACAATTTGATTCAGGCAGAAAAAGAGAAAAGTAATAACAGTACTTTTTAATCACGTAGCCTGCCTGTAGAACAGATGGTTTTCATCTAGATAATAAATGAGAAAAAAAAATAAAACAGTGTGTAAAAAGAGCCCACAGACCAACATCCAAGTCATTTCTGTGTTCCTTTAAGTTCTCTCTAGACAGTTATACTATTCTTTCAAACCTAGTGCGAAACATCTGAGATGTGAGGAAACCCCAACTTGGCGATGACTCCCAGGATCTAATTTGTCTTTTTTTATGTAGTTAAATAAATTACAGAACAAACACATGTGCTTGTATCTTGAATATGTGCATTCATCTAGAAGAATGGACAAATAGAAAAGACGATCTAGGATCTAGAACTCTTTCCACTGCATTACTGCTTCAGACATACTTCAATCAATAACTTGATTCCGCTACTGTGTATCCACACAGTTTGAGTGGTCCAGTTTAATATGGCAGTCAAACAACTGTTAATGTATCCACGCACACAGTGACCGGGATTCAATATTGATTTCCAGACGTATCTTTTCTGCACAGAAATGTCTCCAGATTCTCATCAAAATCATTTCAAGTTATTTACATACTTTAGATAATGGAATGCTGATAATCTTTACAATTCTATATTGAGAAATATTCAAAATTTGCTCCCAAATTTGTGTATATTTTTAGGTTGGTTGAACCTTTACTCATCTGTACTTATGTGGGACTGCTTCTCTGAGATCCTATTGTCATAATCCCAATTAAATACTTGATACTTATAATGGAACAAACTCCAACAAGAAATGTGAAATCCCTTTGAGTTTAAAGAACATGTTTTTTTCTTTATCCCACCAGCTAATGGTGATAAAAAAAATGTTTTAAAAGACGGAGCTGCCCCTTTTATTTTCCTCCCTTCACCCCATCTCCGGCTCACCGGCGCCTAGCTTCAGAAGCAACAAAGACAGGCCCAGTTATTAGTCTAATTTGCACAAATGTGGGCAAGCTCCACACCTGTTGCCCCTGCACTGCCTGCAACCAGGCTCCTTCAGAAGACTCACAGGATAGGATAATCAAATCTTTTTTCACCTGTGTAGGACAAGTGCATCTGTGTTTTCTGCATTTTGCCTTCCCCTTACGTTCTCATGGTTGCCACGCTCTTGCTGGCTCATTGCCGAAACGTTAATAAACGTTCATACTGTTAATACTGGGAACCGTTACCCGCCACCCCTTTTTTTAAACAGTCAGCTGCTAATTTCTCTCATCATCTCTTAGCAGCACCTCACTTCACCTGTCAGTCAGGTGAGTAAATCTTTGCGTAAGTTCAAATGGGGTCCCACAGTCACTCACATGACAGCCCTCCGCCGTCCACGTACTCCATTTGGATTTGAAACAGCGCCAAGCGAAAATCAAGTGACACGGGCCACACAGGGTAGGAGGGAGGGGAATGTGATCCCACTTGATTGTTGAGAGTTTATATAGCGAGTGATGACAAAGTGCTTTATGACTTTGCAGTGTTCGCTGGGCGATGCGATTGAAGCCTTATACAGGCAAAGCCCCTCGGTGACCTTGGATTGTCAAATGTTCTCGTTTTCACCAGGAAGGAGCCGGCGCTCAGAGCCGGTAAGCTGCTTTTAGAGAGACAGCCAGGGAGAACTGTTGGAGGTGACCCGTGCTTTCTTAGTTTCTGCGCTGAAACAAATGCATTAGTCAAGACAGAGACAGGGAGAGAGAGACAGATACAAAGCTCAAATAGAATATACAGGCATGAATATTTAAAGCAATACTAAGAGTCCACAGCCGTGCAGGCAGCTCTTTGAACCTGAACTTAGGGCAGCACTTTGAACTAAATGGTAATGCAGAAATGCGCTCAAAGATAATGCGAGGATGTTTACCAGCCGTAATGTTTACAACTTTGTTTGCTCACCAACGCAAGATATTGCTGACATCTACGGAAACGCTCAATCAGCATTTTAAATAAAACCTTCAAGTCGACAGTTCCGGACGAGGCTCTGCAGAAGTCTGATACCTATCCACGATCCGCACACGTTGAACCAAGGAAACATGAAAAATGTGACAGGAAACACACAAAATGAGTTAACAGGTACATCTTATGACTGTAAGGGGGACCTTTAACATGTCCAAATTTTACATTGATCTATTAAAAAAATCTTGCTTTTGTGTCGATCCATCAAACTCAAATCTCCTGGTGCCACTCTGCTCTTCTGATTTAAATCTTCAAATTTTTTTTGGTTCAATTTTAAAGCATTGTGTTAAAAAAACAAAACATCTTCAATGATGAATACATTTTGGGGTAGTGGCAATAACTAAGATATTACCATAAGCAGGGATTGTCTTACGTTAAAGGCATATCCCCAAACGTCAATAGAACAATAAGGGTTCAAACAGGCCTGGTTAGACATAACTGGTAGCTTCCAGACACAGATAACATCTTATCTCATTGGGAAGAGGAAAGATTTCAACCCCAGCCCTTTGTTTCCTGCATTGTCTGTGACCTTTCCCATGCAAATGGCGGGACACTTGCCTTACAGCTATCTGGAAGCCTGGTAAAGCGTGTTGCTTCAGGAAGCCCCCTTGTAACTACAATGTAAATCATTCCCGTTCGGCGTAGTGGGAAAACAATTACTGGGGCAGGATCAACACTTGAGGCCTCCGAGTCGTTTAAACTGAATAGAAATAATACGTGTGAGGGGCAGACAGAGCCGCAGATGCCCTCTGACTGCTCCTGCTGCTGCTATGGGCTAACAACTCTTACATTGATCCAAGGAGACACTCAGCCCTCTAACCTGCTGAGTGCTCAGTTCCAGTGAACAATGGAGTTCAGAGCGTGTCGATACACTATCCTATTGAATGCTCTCCGTTTAGCAGCAAGATTGATGAGGTTAAGGCTCCCAACCGGGGAGCCAAATGGTGTCAAAACCAAGGTGTTGCTTTGGTCAAACAATCCCCTGCTGCAATATCACACTTAGAGGTCCTAGTTATTGGGTTATACACCGAGGAACATTTAAATACGGGCAACATTTAGTGAGTGGGTATACAAACTGTGCTGGATGTTGCTGGGACACCAAAAAATGTATGCGAGAGTACGAGTGCAGCAAGGATGACACTGTTTGGACATGAATGCACTGCAAATCCCTAAAGACAGTAAATGATGTACAAGTGGATTTATTACAGTAGGTCCCTATAAATCTAAGGTTGGCCTGAACTCCAGGGAGAGGTTAATGGATTACAAAGGGATGCAGTATTGAACCTCAGAGAAGTTTATACATCTCATCAATATGTGAAACGCTATTGATCAGTTAAACCTTGATAAATTAAATTCATACACTTGACATGCATGGCGATATTCAGTTTGCCCAATGCGAGGAAGAAAGTTGCTATTTTTTTCAGCCACCAAAATCTAAATCAGTAGCAAAGATTCAAAGTCGTTAAGAGTCCACCAGAAGGAGTTATATGCCCACGTCTTCCCATCGGTCAGATTGTGACACGTCTGCTCCCCATCATCTATTTTAAAAGTTCAGTTGCCCTGATTCAAGCTGTTGGTGTTTTTGTCTCCTAAAATGCAGAGAATGACGTCTCTCCTATTCCTTATCTTCAAGTTGCATCAAATTAGTTGATTTTTTTTAACCAGACAGCTGAAACGGTTCTTTCACTCTAACTTGTGGGAGTCAAACTCAAGACAATGCCTAAGGTGATTTCCAGTGAATGGGCTTAAACCAAATGCTGGGAGTGGCTGCCTTCTTTTTCTCTTTGCAGACTATACATGTAGTTGACACTAATAGGATTAATGTTTTACAGAACTGAAAGTATACTAAAACCAAAAAAAAAGAAAAAGAAAAAGCTCTCAACTCACTCTCAGGACAAGTGCTGTGGGTTTCTGACACACTGTAGACGGTACTGTGTGCTGGTTTGCAATAAGTAAGACATTCCACTTGAGATAAAACAGATTTATTACAGTTATGGCTGAAATTCAGATACTGTTCAGCAAGTTACAGAGGACCAACCAGTCAAACTACAGTGGTTATAAAGCATACTGATTGTGAGCTTTATTGTTATTCATCCACAAAAAAAAATCAGAGGCATAAAAAAAAGACTTTACTGCACACTGAAAGGATGTCTCATTCAGAACTCAATCTCAACAAACATTACAAAAAATATCTGGTAGCTCAAAAGCTGTCTCCGATATGTGTGCTGCTCCTCTGCCTTCTCTGTGCTCCTACGAAGGCCATGAGATAGAGGTGGAAATGGCACAAGGGCAGAGATCCCTTCTTCTCACTCATGGACTCTTCTCGTTAGCTAGAGACACAGTGAGTAATTCAGTAAGTCAAGTATTCATTCATTACTTTCCTTTTCAATCACGGGGCAATTTTTTTTCTCTACTTCCCCCATCCACCTCCACACTGACAAAAAAGAAAGTAATACAAGTTCTGCAACTTCCATCTGTGGCACCACTCGTGTCTTCCTGCAGCTTAATTACAAAATATTGGCGCCGTTTTCTGTAAAGATTATTCACTGTAGGACGCCCTACATAATTTGGACCGGAGGGTTTGTCACAGAAAATAATACAATGCAACTGGGCTTTCTGTATTAGATTTCCGCTTTTAGCCTCCTTGACATTTCAAGCTGCATGAACTAATACATCTGTTATTTGTTGATCATTTGATTATTAACATACTTCACAAACCAAATCAGCTGCCCTGCTGGAGACGCAGATACAGCTCTGCAGACTGTCTGGGTTTTTCCTCACCCGCCGCCGCGCACAAACGCACTCGCAAAGATGCACAATTCAGCCCTCAGTGAGAAAGGAAAGCGGGGAAAAAAAACATTCATCTTCCCCTCCTCTGAGCGTATGAGCACTCTGACACCGGCATGGAACAAAGCCCGTCATCACATTCTAATCTCGGATTTCAGGGCTTTTATTTCACCCAAATGCCACCCTGCTGGCCTTGTGAATTATTGACAGACTGACACCAATGCGAAAGGACACATAAAAGAGGCTAAAAGCTCCGGCCCTGGAAGAGTTGTCCTCTCCTATCGCCGTCAACCGGGAGACAAACTCTGCTAATGCTTCACTGGAAGCTCGTGGTAACTTTCAGACTGGAGTAACCTAGGATTCCTGACCCAACAGCCGCGCTACGCAGCGGAGATAACCCGCCCAGCACCAGCTCTTTGGTCTGCATATGAGCCTTGGTACAATTACAAGCTCACCGAGGCAAGAGGGTGAATTATCTGATTGAATCACGACAATTAAAAGCAGTAACTCACACGCGGTTCGCACTGCAAACGGGTGTCTGGAGTCATTCTCATTTGACTCTTACTCGCCATTTGTCCATCCAAACAGACCTCACCAGGTGGCGTTGGGATGGAGTACAGATGTTGCGTTTGCAGGATTAAAAATAAATCACGATGAGCCCTACGTCACCGGACACTGATCGTGTCAGTTGAGGTTTGTTTTTTGTTGTTCTTTCACCCACACCTACGTCTCACTTTGCTCAAGATTAGAACGGAACAGAAACGAGCGGAAACAAAGAGGACAGATTTCAAAGGAAAAAAACAGAAGAGCAGAGAGAAAATGAAGGCGGCCTATGAGCAGAGGGGGCCGCGGCGCCAGCCCAGCAGAGAGGTGGTGTTTTGCAGAGTGTTGTGTTTTTCTACAGCCGTCTAATCAACCTCGCTCTCGTTGCTGGCACCCTCGGGTCTCCTCAGTTTGTCCACCTGTTCGTTAATCTGTCCATCTCCGCCTCGCCGGTCCTCCGTCTGCATGCTTAGATCCTCCTCCTCTTCCTCCTCCTCCTCCTCCTCCTCCTCCTCAACGCGACCGACATCCTCCTTCTTCTCCTCCTCCCCCTGCACCTCCATCCGGACCTGGTCCAGGGGGAGCGCGGCGCCCAGGCCCACGGCGCAGGCGTCTCCGTTCATACCGATGGCTCCGTCCGGCCCCCCCAGTGCATCCTGGGGGCTGTGGAGTCCGTCCTTGACCGGGGAGGAGTTGGCGGACTCGTTGCTGACCGGAGAGATGTCGCTGCTGCTGTGGTTAATGGACGGCGAGCCGGGGGCCGAGGGCGGCTTCAGGGGAATCTGCCACGAGGGGATCTTGGGAATAGCGGGAGTAGAAGGGAACTGTCTCCTGTGGAGGGGGGGGGGGTTTGCACACAAGTATATAAAATAAAATTAAGCCCGATCACACTTTTATCAGAAACCTCACTTTCATCATGGCTTTCAGCCAGATGTTCAGCACACCTGGTAAAGATGCTCAAAGGTTTTTTATTCATTTTTTTTGCTTTCATCACATCCACTTCAGCTTTTAAGATCAAAAAGCGCACATTAGATGTGTTCAGCACTTCTAGATGCTTAAAAACCGTTTGCCGACAATTCGTATCAGTTTAACCAAAAGGAAACAAATTTGGAGACAGATGGTGAGAAGAGACGGTCTTTTATTTGCTATTCAAGCCAGAAAACTCATTGTGAGTGTCAGGATGAAGTCAAGAAAGCAAATGACAAAAAGGATTATTACTGATTACAATGTATGAGGGAAACAAAAGGCACTCAACTAGGCAGTTCTGAGGTAATTCATGTCCTCTCCGGTTTTGTGATGTACACTCTTACTTCATTATAGACACTGATACATAATCATGCATGCTAATGGGGCTGACTGAGCTGGGCTGTGCCTGATTAGATAGGAGCCAGAGGACGTCAAAGATATAGTGAGGCCTTATGACAACAGTAACACAACAGCAAAGCCAAGCTGTATAAAAGCATTTGCAATCAAACTAAAAAGCATTTTCACTTGTGGTGAAATTGGTTTCTTTCTTTTTTTGGGGGGGGTTTATGCATCCATATAAAACATTCTCTCCACCAATGATGTAGAAGAGAGAGTGCATGATGGGTGTTTTGTGCTTGGTTATATTTTTTCCCCGAGGTTTAAACTCACACCTCCGGGGAGGTTTCCAAAGCCCCCTTATAGAGGCGTGCTGCTTTCTGTTCAGCTGACAGTAGCTAAACATGTCCGCATCACGTCCGGATGAGAATGGATGGACAGTTTTTACATTCACTTGTCAGGTTCAGCAAGGTAGAAGTTTCAGCCGATGCAGTCACATTAAGAAGCGGCATCGCATATGAGAGTGGTGTGTGTGTGTGTGTGTGTGTGTGTGTGTGTGTAGGGGGGTCTTTTAAGAGGAATCCAACAGAGGTACGCTTGATATTTCATGCTTCATACTTTCTTTTTCACCGAAATATAATTTTTCCACAAACCTTTAGGCGGGTGAATGTGAAGGAAACATTAGCACCTCCAGGTAAAGTGAAAAATGCATTTTTCTCAAGATGACAAGTAATTGAAAATGTGAGACGGAAACTAATCACAGCGCTTTAGAAAACTGACTGAAAGCCTACATTTCAAGCAGATCCCAACTTCCGTTTGTAGTTTAAACAGTCAGCTGAAATGGTCAGTGTTGAGTAATCAAATGAAACAAAAACGGCGTGCCCCAACGTGCACGCGCGCACACAGACACACACACGCGCGCACACACACCTACGCTTCCACTGTAGCATGCAGTAGTGGTTTGACTTTGTTACCTGCTGAGCAGTAAGCCCTTCAAAGAGGCAATCTCAGCCTTCAACTCCCCAAATGTTTGGCTGTCCAGCATGCGACCGGTTGAGGATGATGCCTGTTGCGGGGGAGAAAAAAACACAAAAAACACACACACACACACGTGAGACAGGCTCACACAAACAGCGCTGTTCCGGTCACGTGCAGGCGGGGTCACAAGCACACCGCTCAGGTCTTTTCAACACTTCCTTTATGCATGGTTTCAACTATATGAAATATTAAAAAACGTATTTAAAAAAAAAAAAAAAAAGCTATGGAAAGTAAACAAATATGGTAAATGCAAATGCTAAAAGCCGCATGTTTTTGTGTAGCAGGGCCATTCGTCACTAAACAACCTTACAACTGCCGGCTGTGGGTGCTGAGGGAGAGGAGGGCAAACAATGTCACGATAACCACTTTTATGTCAGGAAGTCCAGTGAGTGTGAATCACGCTGTTTTTACATAATTTTCCATACTATCTATAAAGAATAGGTCAGTGTGCAGTGTTTTGGATAATGATCATCTTAAACAATGGCCACATTCATAAATGCAGACCAAAGCTTTGCAGTTTTTTTTCTTTTAGTCTTTTATCAATGGCTCGCGTTATCATGTGCACGCACGCACACACAGCGCTGCAGCATGAAATGCTACAGGGGATAATGGTGAAATATTTGAATGGCAAATTGATGCTGAAAATCTGCCTCTGAAGCCCTTTTTTAGGGATAGGCTAGACTCCCAACTATAAAAACGAGTTTTGCCAAAGGCCTAAAGGGAAATGGATCACAGGCAAAACCATACAGAGGGTTAAACTGCACATACTACCAAATACAGAGTCTGCATGCCTTAAATGAATGTTTTGTACCAGAAAAGGGGGAAGCCTCCCAACAGGTAACACTTAAAATGAGAGATCAAAGAGAAAATGCCAAATACTCCAACAGGGAGGCGTGATCGTTTGGCCGGTCTGCTCTTTCGACTGCAACCTGTGAGAGGGCACAATGGGGAAGCATTATGTGGTCATGATAGCAAAATATTTGGGATCCTGGGATGCACATGACTGCCTCCTATTCTTAGTCCATTTCCATACAACAAACACAGAAGTGCGAGAGCCTGAGGATAGACCAACGAGACCAGAGGGATTTCAAGGGGGCAGACAAGGGAAAAAGTGGGATAAAGAAAAGTAAAAGCTGTAATTAAGACTCTCCTGTCTCACCAGAGGAAGCTTGTTAGGAAGTGTGGACCCCCAATCGAGGGGAGAGGGATAACTTGGACTCTTTGGCTTGTAATTAAATCTAAGAGAAATTAATTGAATCACATCTGAAAGGGATCAGACTCATTTACAGAGGATGGAGAGAGGCAGAGGAGGAGAAGTGAAGAGAGACAGAAAAAGAGATGAGTGGGAAGGAAGATTTTTCTTTTTCTCTCTTTTTTTTTTTGGCTCTTATCGGCTCCTAAACCTCTGTGATAAGGAGCCGTGTTTTAGAGGTGGTGCATTGGAGTCCCGCTGAAGACACTCTTATTACAGCCGTCACCTCATTAGAACCATCTTAATCCCTTGCCTCCCTAAGGCGCCCGTATAATAAGGCTCGATTCTGCTTCTCTCTCATTTTATGTTGAAAAAAATTAATTGCTGTAAAGGGTGAGCAAAAAGATTTCCAAGGCACAGAATTGGCTGAGGGAAAGGGTTGATTTTTTTAAATAACATAAATGCGATCATCGATATTTACTTATGCCACCTAACGTAAGAAAAGGAGGCTTTCGAGAAGACATGTTAACCACCAGCTACATTCATAATATGCATTATCTACAGAGCAGCACCATATAATATCTCACATCAAGGCTTGTCACACAACACTAACTCTGACATATGTCTTATTAAGTCTGAAGAAACCTAATTAAATGTTGGTCCAAGACTGAGTTTCAGCTCTGAGATACATTATGTCAGTGTGTATACACACACACACACGCTGTGTGAGAAGTGTGTGTTAAGTGGACGAGGTGCTTCGGTGAGGGCTGAGTGGAGGGGTATCAGTGACTGCAAAGAACCGAACAATGCTGACTTTAAATGCCCCACCTGAAGTATTGACAAGTATCCAACAGAGCACGCAAGTGTTTAGGTGCTAACAAAACAAAAGTCTACATAATGATCTGTAGAAATAATCATAAACCAACCACCATACTGTTTTTATAAATGTATTTTTATTAATTTCCTTAAAGAGATTAACTTTAAATGTTGAATGTATTTTCAGTATGTAGGAATTTCTACATACAAATTGTGCCATTCTTACAGAAAAATATGTGTTCTTGCGATCTTTCTTTACTTCCATTGGATTTTGGAAAGAATGCCTGTTTGAGTTTGAAAACTTACTTTCAAGAAAGACAGATTTAGGTGTTGTCTTTGGCTCCTCCTATGAGTTTAGTGAAAAAAATGTGATATGTACATTCTGAACCTCTGAACTTTACTATTGCCTTATTCCTCCCAAAAAAGAGAAAAAAGGCTACTACAAAAGAACTAAAAGAATTAAAAATGTAGCTCCTGGCGTGTAAGTGCCGGGTTTTAGGGTTCTAAGCTGCACAAACATGCAACCGCCAAACAAATGAGCCAACCAGCCAAAACGAAACAGTCCTAACAAGATGCTACCGTCTATTAAATCATCAACCACCAGCACGTGGGCTGGCTGTGGATTTTTCAGAGTAAATACAGTTTACAGCAAAGATTTCCCCTCACTGGATTAAAAGCCATGTAATGTATACAGTTTGGGGCCTAATTGAGGTTGGAATATTTCTGCTTGTTAACTAGGTGCCTCAGAAGGAAAAAAAATTAAAGGAAAAAAAGAAAGGAAAAATATAGATTACTGGCAAAGAAAAAAAAAAAAGGAGCTTCAACTCTACCAGCACCCGAGGATGGCAGCGCATCTGGTTAAATGAAGATAAATGCCTTTGGACCATTAGCAACAAGATAAGATCTTTAACAAGCCTTGTTTAAGAACGTCTGAAGGCAAATTAATTCACAGTTATTCCGCCAGCAGACAGTGTGTTTTCGTAGAACACATGTATATTTATGATGGAATTAGTTTCAAAAGGAAATCCCCAGAGGAGTGTTTTTTGAGAGAAAACACTGGTACAGCGCAATTGATTTCGCTCTATTTATGCACTTTCCCACTGGCACTTCATCTTGTGCAAGCAAGGGGGTGGTTTCTAATCTTCTATGTAGTATCCACTAATAAAGAGAATGATCAGCGAGTTGAGACAGTGGGGCAAACACAGTTAACAGGCAGATTTGTAATGATAATGGAGCAGAAATAGACTGGAGTGTTTAACATCGGGGATGGATCTTCTGGGGGAGAGTCTATCTAAACCACCGGTGACGGCGCACAGCAGCGGGTCCTCTCAGAACCATAAGTGACAAAACAGTCCGGTCTGGAAAAGTGCTGCATCAGCCGGTCCTCTGTGGGCGTGTGCACGTGTGCGCGTGAAATGCACGTCCATAATGAGGTCCCCGCTTTAGGGACGGCCGACGCACGCCGCAACTGAGCGGTTTCAAACTACCAGGGATGTTTTCTTAGCAGCCGAGGAAACAGAAGTCTCCATGTGTTTTGGGTTAAAGGCACATTTCCGTGTTGAGAGGCATAATTGCTGAGCACGGCGCGCTTTAAGCAGCGTGGTGCAGCAAACCCTGAAAGCCACAAACGGTGAATGATAAGTAGCTCCCCAGCCCCAACATGTGTTTCTCATCAAACATCCCGGACCTGAAAACAATTTCTCAATTTCCCTCATGGCCAGAGACAACAGAAGGCCTCGTGCCGACTCACAGGGAAAATTTAAGATCAACACTATAACTATAAAGCAGGGTTTATGATTTGTTTAATGGGTGTTTTGATGGGAAATATACTTTTTATACACTACCGCTGTCCAACAAGGCACTCATAGCAAATGAAGTAGACTTTTTAATCCAATTTATGATTTAGTGATGACAAATGAAAAGAAACACTATCACTTGTTCCTTAATACAGGAGGAAACTCATTGTTCAAATTGGACCTCTTGTCTAACTGAAGGACACCCTTAAAGAGTTCTGTTTTAATCTGGTGTCTCGCCACATGGCTCCCTAAACGCTAACGTGTAGTAATTTGGGCCACCACTTTTCCACAGCCGTGAGGCTCGGGATCTGAAACAGCGCAGAAAGAGCAATGAGTTGTCACTTTTTTTTTTGGATGAACCTAATCCAAGGAAGAGATCCATATTTTTCTATCCTCGTTTGTGCCGAAGCAGATGTGTCCACATATGTTTTCCTGCGATATCCAGATGCTACAGTAACACAACCATGTGCTTAACAAGCTGTGGACATAAAACATTGTCTGAGATTGTCTCATCCAAGGCAATTTCTAGAGCCCCAGAGATCATAAAGCGATTTATGGACAGCGTTATAAAAAAAAAATCAAGCAACATTTCATCCCTGCACATAAGTTTTTAAAACAATCACTCAGTAGGATTAATCTAAACACAATTCTGAGTAGATTATGAACATGGTCTATAAAAAAATCAAGGCTCAGAGGAATGGTATGGTTAAAGATTATGGTCCCATGATGAGATGCACCTTACTTTTTTGTAGCTTGTGTTCTGATGATATACAGTATCATAATGCTGTCTGTCTCAGGGTGTTATGACTCAGGCAGAATAAAAGATTTTAGCACACGTAAGCCTTTACAGCTATATGTTGAGCTCTTCTGCAGGGTTCAAAGTTAGTGTTTCCTCAACCCCATTTATCACTAAATAACAAAACTTAAAAGTGAAACACATACCCCACCCCCCACCCCCACCCCCCCTAGTCAAAACCTTGTGAGGTTGTGCTGTATCACTACACTTAGCCTCCAGTTGCAGGATGACTATGTGTTTAGATAAAATCTACATTGGCAAAGTGGGTCACTTTACCAATGAGCTGCAACATTCAACCACAGCCATGTGTACATCCAAACACCTCACCTTCCTACACTGCAACATTTCCATCCTGCCATTAACATGTGCGTTACTTTTGACATTTTTATTCTGCATAAAACCCATTAGCAGACCTTTCAAAAGTCTCACGGCAGAACGGATGTGGGCCATGAAAAAGAACCCTGGGAGAAGCTCAAAGAAGACGGCAGAGTCTGAGGTGTTGGCTCGGCCTCCAGACTCCCCAGCTATCAATCGGATGGCGTCAGTGCTAAGCGAGCCCCATACACAAAATCCCCATCCGACAACCAGCAGGACCCAAAGGATCTATTAGCGACTTCTTTGGAGAAAAGTCTAATGTTTTTTGATCCGAGTTCTTTTGATAAAAAAAGAAAAACTGCCTAAACCAGGGTCAAAACGCGATGGCTGACTGGGGTACTGAATTGCAGTCTCGTTACAGGTTGACCAGCAACCGATGGATGAAACAACCAGACAAAAAAGTGAAGATTTTGAGCACTCTGACGATCTCCCAGCCAGCTGTTGAGCTACTGATGAGGTGATGCTACTGTACCTCTGCTGCAGCCAGTTCCTGTGAGAGATCCTGGATTCTCTTTTGCTGCTGGATCAGGAGCTCCTGGACAGAGACCAGGGTTTGCTGCAGCTGGCTCACTGTGGAAAACAAGCACAATAACAGACAGTAAATTCCTTTAAAAAGAAAGAGGGGAAAAAAAAGCACGCGAGACTGTCTAATTGGGTTATTTTACAAACTGATTATTTTCTTCTCAGAAATGATGAGAGAACTGATGAGGATAAACTTATGTAGCTGATCAAAGCTCTCCTCTAAGAATTGTAATCAAAACTAATTCCCCGGTAACTTAAGTCGCAGCTTTTTGGTCCGAGGCATTTGAGGGTAGAGGGTGGGAAGTGATGGTGGGGGTGCACATGGGATTGAAGTATTAATCTCTAGTGTCTGAACTTAAATTAAATAACAGTCTCTAACCTTCCATTATCCACCCAGACACTGCCTTCTAATGCATCTTAAATCCTCAAACGATCAACAAAGGAAAAAACAGGGCTCTCATTTGGGAGGAGGCTGCCAGACAAAATGTCCCTCCTAATCCTAATAAATATTGTTCTTTTTCCATTGACTTTGAAGATTGAATTAGTTCAAGTGTTGGTGTTGGACGAAGGTGTATGATTTCAAATAACACCGGGCACAGTTTGTTGCCCCCTGCTTCCAGTCACGCGTGTATTACCAAACAATGCATTAAGTTTCCCTGAGCTGATTATATTACAGAAAACCAATAAACATTCATATAAATCATGGGCGTGTAAAGTGTTAAATCAAGCCTAATAGGATTAACATCAACAGATATTGTGGCGGTCCACTGCTGAGGTTGTCAGGCCAATGGTTAAAAGCCTGAGCTGCAGCCGGCTGGACGGGGCGTAAAGAACCCTCCTCTCACATTAACAAAAGGCAGGGCCCTGCTCGGGAGCTGGGTTTCTTTTGAAAAACCAACACAGAAAAAATATTTGATCTTTCAAAGACAGTAACATCTCTCAGTGACACCTGTGTTTAAATGGGTGGGGCTGTATCAATATGGGTGCGGTGCTAAGACGCTTGATCTCTTCATGCTGCAGAATCCTATGGAATACGGGCTTCAGCGGGATTACTGGCTGGGGCCAAAGACCGTTTTGAAACATTTTAAGTTTGCTGCTGCTGCACCGTTTGCGATCCAGAGTCTGACCAACATCTCTAAAGAGGGCAATAAATGTAAAATACTGGCTCCTCCCGCTTAAAAAGGTGTTACTATCACAGGCTGTGCTCTCTAAACCAAGAGCTGCCCTATTAGTCTTTGGATCCAGCTCGCCACAAAGCAGCTTATCCAGATGTGCGGGTCGCTCTGCCAACCTGTATTGCCGTGCCTGGTTCTGCTTTTTTCGGCCCCTTCGGCCAAACGGTTCACGGCTCAACTCTTTTCATCTCTCTCCACAAAGTTGACTCCTTTGTACTGCTCAGACGCTTAACAAAAAATGCATAACTTCTTCCTCCGAGTTATCATAGATAAGAAGCCAAGAATATTAATAAAGTCAATGGATTTGGCCAGCCATGAATCAGAGGGATTCATGACACTGTGTGTGTAATACGGGTGTGTGAGTGAGAGAGAGAGAGCGAATCGGAGACAAGATGATGTGTGAGGCTCGCAGCAGCTGTGAGGAGGGGGCGCATTGTGTATTCAGTAAATTATTCAGTAAATACCTCGCTATAATGTACACTACATATGTCCGAGCCTGTCTCTGTCTTTAATGGCCAGCTGGTCACCAATATGGCTCCTACCAACAAAGAGTGCCCAAACAGCCACACAATTCCATTACAGCCTGCGCGCGCTGAAGTAGTTCCAAGATCCATTCATTAATTGTCTGTGTGAAGTTGTAGGCAAATCATAATGGGAGTCAAGGCCCTTACTCTTGAGCTGGGGCTGGTGAAAAAGACTAATGTAGTCCCCGTTCAAAAGAATACATCACCTCATTGCGCCTGGCACTGGAGAAATACATGAACTTTAACAAAAGGGGGTTCAAGCAATTGGCAGCAACGAGGCAGTCGGTCACTATTACTCAGTGCAGGGAGAGTTGGAGCGAGAGGGAGAGCAAGACAAAGGGAGAGCAGGGGGAGAAAACTCTCAGTGTAATTGCAACCCCTCTCCCCAATTGTTAACGACAACAGTCATTAACTACAATAGCAGCCTGGCTAGTGTAGTCATAGCAAATTAGCTGTGGAGTCTGGTTGAAGAAAATACCCCTCCAACCCCCATTGGAGTCTCACCTTCACACCAACAAAACACTGGAGGACTCACGCTCCGAAGCCCTGTCCTCGCTAACGAACAGGGCAGGGTGTGCAGGTTGGCAAATCTCCAAAAAGTGATAAGTAGGGCAAGAATGGCCGGTGCAATAGCCAGGGGAAATGTGTTTGCATAGTTGGGACAAAATGACCATAAAAGAGCATATATATTTGTTAATCAGATTCAGTGTGGCACACCTCGCACGCCATCACGCACAACTGCCCTCCACCTACTTCTGACAGTCAGGAAACAAGAGCATGGGTGTGACCTGATGAAATGATAACAGCCCTATTTTCATCCGCGCGCCCTTGGCTGAACAGCTGAAGGAGATATCAAACAAAGGACGTTCACATTCAAATGTTTCGTGAATCTTTGTCTCCGCATTGTTAAAAGTCTACATGGAACACACGTCTCTCCCTAGTTCGCTCAGCTACAAGTGATGATGGCTATCTGTGCCTGGGCCCTATTGGCCCCAGGTTTTAAGTTCCATTCCAGCGAAGGTGTCGGACATCTTCTGCTATGAACATGCAACCAAAGGCTGGGAAGAACTCAGCCCCACGTCAGGAAACCTTGACAAACAAAACAAAAAACGAAAATCTGTCGGCACCAAAAGTCTTATCTCTCTCCAACAGGTTCTACAACTCATACACCCTATCCGTCTTGAAAGTTTATGCCTGTACAATTTCTTCTCTGAAAAGAGCTGGACTACTGCACACTGGAATAACTGGGAGCTGTAATGCTTACACAGCACTGAACTCTAAGAAGATTGGAGTATCCCAAAACAAACCATATAAATAAGACTTTATTATCAACATCATCATTAAAATACAAAAACACAACTGTTAGCCTGGGCCCTATTTTTTATTCTATTCCACCCGTCTCCGACGCCGATCGGTGCCTTTCATGTGAAAACACATTCCGGTTCGACACTACTGCTAACAAGACCTAAGCTTCTCAGAGTGCCTCTCTCATTTACGCCTCCCTGGATTTTTAATTATACTGACGAAGAGCTCGGAAAGCATCTCTCTCTCCATCTGACAGCCAGGTTGAGATTCCTCACCTGTCCAACATGGGAGCCGCACCTGTCACCGTGCACTTAATCACACTAGGGCCAGAGCTGAGCCCAGACATCACACAGCGCCACGCCACACACACCGGCGCCAAAGCAGGCGCGCGTGCACGTGCACCGCAAAATTAAAATGAACTTTCTGCCCACCTACGGGGGAGAGGGTGGCTGACGGTGATGGCGACGGAGGTTCGGATGGGGGGGTGAGGTTGGCGCAGGGGGGAGACGGATGGAAGGGGAGGGGGGGGGGTCGGGTGGGGGGGGGTGAGAGGGAATGGGTGGGTGGGGGTTGAGAAAAGTTGTCATTTCCCAACTCCTCATTAATATTCCGAGGTTAAGAGCTTTTCAGCGAAACGTAATTAATTGAGCCCGAGCCTGACAGTAAACAAGCAATTTCAAATTAAAGCGAAATGACAGCGGCGTCATTTGTTAAAAACGTGTGGGGCCCCCCGATTTTGGCGACAGATAAATGAGGGAAAATGTTAAGGAGGGAGAAAGTGATGAAGATATTAATCTTCACCTGTCTGTGTCAGTGTGCCACTCATTGCCGCAATGTTGCTCTCCATCCTCTGCAGATGCTTCTTGTCCTCTCGGCTCCCAATAATGAGGGGAAGGATGTATTTCTGCAATTAAAAGCATGGCACAACATTACGCTTCTCTCTGGTGGAAAGGGGCAGAGGGATGAGGAAAAGACAGGGCCACCTAGAGTAGACAGTGCAAGGTCAAAGGCACTGTTGATTGGATGCCAGCCTCACTGTCATGACTGCGTGGTTGAGTGTTCAGATTTGGGCAACATAGAGTCAAAGCACTTGATGCTAAAGGTGTGCACACTCATCAACTTCTCGAACCATTAGCAGGTTAGAAAATGAATCAACCATTCTGCCAAATGAAGAAATCTGTCAAGCCAATATTTCCTGATTTGAATTGTGTTCCATTGCAACTTCATTTAGAATGAAAGATAAATCTAATGGAAATAAGTCTTGAATATGTTTGCCACAGTGGAAATGAATGAACCTGCATTAGAACAGTGAAAGTAGAAGAAGGGAGAACAGGAAAAAGGGAAAAACTAAACAGTTTTTTGTCATTGTTCTAAAAGAACTGGAATTATAAACATGTCTAAAATCAATGTTCATGCTGACACACACTAAAATAATTTTAAAAATCTTCAGCCTTTCTGGCTTTATTTCTTTCTCATCTTTCTTATGCAGATGGGAAACCTAATCCCTCGCTGCCAGTTTCCAGGCCGCTGCCAGGTTTTCTCTCCAGCTTAGGAGGCAAGCCGGCACACCAGTGCAAGTAATAAACACTTTTTAGAGAAAAAGATTAAACGGGTGTCAACACGTGGTAATTAATAAGTGGGTTGCTGGGAAGGTAGTGTTTACAAGGTGCACCATAACATAAATAAAGTATGGGCAGAAGCCTGGACATATGGTGCGACTGGCGCTGTGCTCTGGTGACATGACAGCAACCTGTGCCGTCCCACCAGGGAATCCCACCTCTCAGGTGGCTGGTGGAACGCGAACACCGCCGCATGTAGTGGGCTGCTAAAGTGTGTTTTTGTCTGCCGGGAGAGAGGATCCTGAGTGTGCATGTAGGGCCTTACAAACAAAGTCTGCAGAGACAAATGGCTATCGGAATAAAAAGAATTCAGTGAGAGCTTATAGCTTCTCAACAGGATCAGGAACATGCGTGTTTTGTGCTCCCTTTCTAACGCACACAAAGAAGACAGGCCCGTCATCTGGCCCAAGAGCTACTGCTGGAGCTCCTGTCCTCCTCTAAAATGAGAGTAATGGCTTCCACATGCCATTCAGACTTCTTCTAACAACCGCTATGGGATTAATGTCATTGGGGACAAGGGGCCTCATGAGCTCATGTTCAAGGGCCGCTAAGCCCGATAAAAAGCAGGGTGATTATTTTTAGACCGTAGGACATCCAAAAAAATTGTTCTGTGCAGTGCGGGCAAATTTATTTTTTAAAGGGAAAAAAAAAAAAATCCATTTGAGATGAGGGCAAGTTAAAAAGAAGGGGTTCAAATGAGATCATGCTTTGACGTAAAGCAGGGTAGGTTTAATAACTAGTCCAGAGTGATGTTATGTACTGCAGAGGCGCCTTCAATCCTAGCACCGCAATTCATCATAAACTAATGCCCGCCATTTTCTGTGTAATACAAGGGGGAGGCAGTACAAACGGATCTTAGGACGCAGTATGAAGGATAATGTCTTTCTCCAACATTCACTGTGAGTAGAAAGTCTGTCAGGACATGCTGTGTGACTTACCTTGTACAGCTGATGAAAGCCAAATGCGATGCCCACCATGATGATGGTGAGAGCCCCGTAGTCTCTCCATCTGTAGCCTGCCGGTGCTGGGGAAGGCAAAGGACCGTGGTAAACTAAACTTGCAATAATTTTACATTCAGAAGAACCAGTAATGCTTTTTTCTTTTTTGTGAGGGACAGCACAAACAAGTCTCACAAGAAATAACCCGATGGGGGGCGGGGTAGATAAATGGAGGTCAAAACATGCGTGTCATGAAAATGAAAGATATTAATCACATATTCAAAAACAGTTCATGGAGGAAAGAGTAAACAAAACCAAAATTAAGCTTAACTGTTTTTTTCTGAACCTCCTACCTAAGGGATTTTATTGTCTCCTGTAAAGTCTTTTTTATTTGGGGCAAATGTAGAATTTGTATGTCAAGTTTTCACATTTGGCAGAAAGGTAAGAGGCTGTGTATTTGTGTATTTAGAGGCTGACTGTGTAGCTGAGTGACAGATAATGTGAAAGTGTGTCACTGTGCAAGCTGTTGTCTGGGTAGGCCAACTGTCTGTCAAGGTGGAATTTCCCCACTTAAGAGAGGCATTCAACTGAAAATGTCACTAAACAACAAACATGCCTGCAGGAAATACATACGTTTTTCTTTTATTTGCTCTGGTGGGGCCACAATGAAAAGGAAATTATCAGAGGTTAAGCCCCTAAAGTACGCCATTGATATTCTATTACGGCTCTGATTTCACCTAATGGGCTATGTGGTTCATGTTTACTGGCTTAAAACAAGGAAACCACATTGATCTCGAGCCTTAGGTTTGTTTGATCAAGCCTTAGGCTTGATTTTACATACAAATAAAATGAGAAAACCCCACTCATATTGGACCACATAGCATATTTTCAAGGTAAATGCCTTTTTTTTTCTTGCTCAAGGACGTGTTGCAGAGAAGCTGCTAACCATGAACCTGGAACCTTTCCTATCAAAAATTTTGAATTGTTCTCCAACATCCAGATGATAACCATATAAATTTGGGTCTTCATCAGCGTTACAGCAGGAATAGGCAGTCACCTATCCAAGAACACCACGCTTCCAAAGGACCTGGGAGTCCATGGGATAGGTAGTTGACCCTGAACGAGCCTCACTGCATCAACACCTGCTCTTTTCTCCCTCCTTTAGGACCTTTCATTCTTGCCCTGTCTTTCTCTTCTTCTATACCACTTCCACACTGCTGTCTTCCTTTTTTTTTATTTGGTCACTTAAGCTGGGGAACTCTGGACTCCATCCCCCGTTTTTCCAATCTCCTCTCAAATTTATTGGGTTCAGTGGAGGCCTTGCTGTCCTTCTACCGTGTGGAAATAGAGATCAGAGTATCCATTACTGCGACAGAGATGGATGTGGGTCCCTCTGCACCGTCCCCATAAGAAGGACATCAAGGGGAAGTAGCCCCCTCTTTTCGGCGTGACCCCCGATACAAGACTCCTCGCTCTCACCTCATTATGCAGCTCCCTTATAGCCGTTTTGATATAAAACCCCCCACGATGGACGGAGAGCTCTGAGTCTCCCTAACTACATGGCCATCCCATCAACATCACTTTCATTACAAAACATGAGATGCCAGGGGAGTCAAGGACAGTGTGGTAATAAATGAGGGTGGAATACATCTGGAACCATTGTCATATGGGTTAAGCATTACGCAGACTTCATTCTGCATTGGTAAATCAGCTGACAGCACTCACAACCTTCTGAGGTAATAAAGATACAGGTTGTGGCGCGTGGGGTCTTGCCAGAGTGGAACCACGTGAAACGGAATGGCATGAGAGTTCGTGAGCTTCTTCTGGACGGCCTTAATTCATGGGCACGGCAGTACTGCGCTGTTTGCCTTTAAACCAGATCCCTGCGTGCAAATCTGCATTCAGCAATGAGCCATCTTCCACACAAAGCTCAACTGAATTAAAAAAGAATCTTAAGCATACACGTTTTTAATATCAATAATAATGCCAAAAAGAAGCAGGGGGCTGGGGGTGTACTTACTGGGTGGAGCAGGAGCTAGCTGATGTGCATAAGGTGGATACGGGAGCCCTGCAGGGGTCAGAGGCAGGACTTCCTCTGTGGCTCCAGAGCGTTGGATGGCCAACTCAACTTCTTCATCAGTCAGTCCTGTAAACAACACACACACACACACACACACACACACACACACACACACACAC